ACACTATAGTGCCCTGAGGGTGCCCCCACCCTTAGGGTCCCCCTCCCGTGGCGCTGAAGGGGCTAAAACCCCTTCAGCAGCTTACCTTTTTCCAGCGCTAGGCTCCCTCGGCACTGGTGACCTCTCCTCCCCCGCCGAAGTCAGCTCCCTCTGCCGCACGCGCATTCAAGCTGTCAATAGGAAAGCATTTTTCAATGCTTTCCTATGGACGCTCTGTGCGATGGAGGCATAATATGCCTCCAGCGTCGCAGACGCGCCTCTAGTGGCTGTCCGGAAGACAGCCACTAGAGGCTGGCTGAACCCTGCAATTCTATGAAACTGCTATGTTTGCATCTGCAGGGTTAAAACCTGAGGGACATTGCACCAGACCATTTCATTGAGCTGAAGTGGTCTGGGTGACTATAGTGTCCCTTTAAATTGCTTAGATCATTTATCCACTTTAATTTATAGTGACACCTTCAGAGACCAGGTAGTGAATAAGATATCTCAGCCAATCACGGTTTTTCTTTTTTTCAGTGAGATTATTTTTCATATCCCATAAACTCTTGCAATGATGCTCACAATAAAACATTCAGTCGGAGCAGGTGTAGCTAATTCCAGCCACTAACTACTGCGGGATTAAATTATGGAAAATGCATTCTGGGATGCATATCTGATTAGTAGACAGATTAATGGATCATACCACCGGGAATTTATGCAGAACTGAGAAATATCCGAGTTGTGTGACTGCTAACTTGAAATCAGGAATTATTGCTATAGTGTATGTTTATCATACGTTCCTATACCCTTCCCCAATACATAGCGACAGTAAGCAGACTGTAAGCTTGTTTGAGCAGGGCCCTCTTTAACCTATCGTTCCTGTAAGTTTTCTTGCAATTGTCCTATTTATAGTTAAATCCCCCCTCTCATAATATTGTAAAGTGCTACGGAAGCTGTTGGCGCTATATAAATGGCAATAATAATAATAATAATAATAATAACTATATAACAATATGTTCGGTTAGTCTCTTGTATGTTAAATCCGTGTGTAAAGCAAGGAAAGGCTTAAAGCAAGCAAACAAACCGTTTTATCAAGATGAACAAATCCTATGATAAATAAGATTATCAGAGTGTAGATTTATCGCATACCAGAGTCCAAAGTCGGGGCTTTCAATCCCAGAGACAGGCTTGTTAGCGGTATACATTAAATACCCAGAAAGCCATGAGCAACACTGTAGCCACATGTAGCAAAAGCGCAGCTTAGTGGAAAGGGGCCTTGACAGCGCTAAGAGGCGGGCATAGGAGGATTCATGTAGGGATTGGTGGTTTTGAGGGCTAGGGCTTGGGCTATATAAATAGGCAGCCATCTTAGAAAAATATCTTTTAACTTGCCTGCCTGGCTGAGTTTGTATGCACCTTGTGTGTCCACTTATTAGGCCTGGCAGGTGTCTTTTTGTCAGTTTTGCAGGATGGAAGAGGTGGAGAAGATGCTGGAGGGGAGCAGGATGGCGGCAAGGGATCGAGGGGCCAAGTGGATGTGGGTCCAGCTCACTTCCGTGCTGGCTGCAGCAGCGGACCAAGATGGCGGCAGAGGCCTCTGCGACGCTTGGCCCCCAGCCCGGGAACGAGGGCCGGTGGATCTGGTGCACACGAGGTTGCTGGGATGAGCAGTGACCAGGACTGCAGGCAAAGGGGCCGCGCGGTCAAGGCTCCACCTCCCGTCTCGGCACCGGAGCCTCAGAGTGTTGAGGTGCGGCAGGAGGCCGCCCATGTGTCTCACAGTGCACCCCCCCCCTTGCTAGATGGGGCCGCGCTTGGTGGAGGGGCCGCCATGGTCGAGGGGTGTGGCCCCAAACGGGAAGCGGCGGATGCGCGGTCGGCAATGGAACCGTGGATAAGCTGCTATGGTGATAGGGCAGATGCTGAGTTGAGTTGTTGCACAACAGCTTCGATTCGGGTTTCTTTATTCCCTTCCGGGAAAAGAGTGGGTCGCGAAGGGTTTCGCAATCTGCGGTCAGTGGCAGAGTTTCCAGCGGTGGTGCGGGAAAACCTGGGCAAGGAGGTGCAGTTGGGCAGGATGGCGGGACCTTTCATAACACCTCCTCTGATGGATTTGCGGGTGTGCCCTCTTGGGGTGGTCCCAAAAAAGGAGCCGGCTCATTCACCACCTGTCCTACCCTAAAAGGGGCGTTGGTAAATGATGACATTGATTGATTGACCAGGCGGTCGAGTTGGTTAAGGAAGGCCGGGCTTCGTGCCTTGATGGCAAAGGTGGATGTGGAGGCGTTTTTGCCTGTTACCCGTCCACCCGGACTGTCATCACTTGCTGGTTTGCTGCTTTGAAGAGGAGTAGTTTGCCGACTTGTGTCTGCCAATTGGCTGTTCGATTTCTTGCTCTTACTCCAAGTACTTCAGTTCCTTCTTGGAGTGGGTCGTTTGGATGGAGGCGGGTGGTCGGCGCATTCCTCAGCCTGTCTACACCTGCTATGAACTGTTGAGTGGGTGGCAGGGCTGTTCGGCGTGCTGCTCGCGGCAGGCAAGACGGAAGGCATAAACGGCTGTCTTCGCTATCTGGGCCTTGAAATTGATTCGTACTGGGGTGAGTGTCGGTTGCCTCAAGATAATTAGTGGGGCTGAGGTAGTAGGGTGCGGATGGTGACACTTCAGCAGTTGCAATTGCTCCTCAGAAAACTCAACTCCCTATTAGGATGGTTATGGAAATGGTAAACATGGTTCTTGGTAAGTTTGGTCGGTTTTGAGCCCTGTCGGTAGATTTCGAGCCCTGTCGGTGGCTCAGAACCTGGTGGGGTAGGGGTGTCTGGGTATACCCCTACCATGGTTAATTAAAATGTTGGCACTTTAAGTTATGTTCCAGTTGGAATAATGTTATATGTTATTTATATTGCGGTCATTGCCTTTTATATCTAACTGAAGGATAGGGAGTGATGGCAGGGTTTGGGGCAATGACCTTTTTTATATGTTAATTTATTACTATTTAATTAAAGCTGTGGACAATTTTGACCCATATACCCTAGTGTCCATGTTTTATTGGGTTAGGTATGTGGGGGGTTTTGTCCTGATTCTGCCTGCTCATATGGCGACTATGCACCTGCCAAGTATGATCCAAATGTGTCATTTATAATAATATTAGTAAAATGGCTGAGTATATCTCGATCTGTAACTACAATCATCTGAGACAGTCTCAGTCCTTCTAGATAAAAGAGATGCCGTCACTCCCCAGAATGTTTAATATTATGGCTTTCTAATGCTTCTCAGTGCGCTGTAGTACTGCTTATTGAGAAGGGGGGAAGGCAGGCATGCTCAGTCGAACTAATGAAAGCAGTAGAAAACTTACCGGCTGTTTGAGCGATAACTGGAAGACGGTTGGCGTCTACTTGTAAAAGTGCTGATTTCTATTGATAACTGCACTTTCATAAACGTTTTATTTATGTTTTCTTTAATAATGACTAACTGCAGACACATACAGCACTTGAGCAAGCTGAATTACTCAATGTATCTGTAATGTGCCTATAGCAAGCCTTGTAAAATTCATCCCTACATCTTTAAATCATGATTGCATTCACACAAAGAAACATCAAAAACAAACTGCAAAATTCAGTCAATAAATAGCCGTATTGGGTCTACAGCAGAACAGGAGTATGTTTCCAAAGCCACTACTTTTGGCCTTAATTTAACTTAGTCATTTGTTTTTAAATTCGCTACACTACATTATTTAGTTACTACAGAGGTTTATTCATTAAACTGTGAAATGCAGTGAATTGAAATATTAATTGCAAATTGTAGAGAAAAATAATTGCTTTGATAACATTTTCCAACACGGCACAGCTTGCTATGTGACTCACAGTTTGCAATTCGGATTGTAATTTATTACTATTTGGTGTTTACTGAATAGACCCTGTGTATCTGTACATATTGTCCATGATGTAGACAGGCATTTGACGCAGACAGCCTGATGGTGGGTCCATTGAGTGAGCACTATAACGCAGTATTTTTTGGGGGGTGATTTACATAATTTTTCCCTTTTCAAATGTACTGTTTTAATCTTATGTCACTCCTTGTGATTTACATACTGTGATGTCACGCATATATAATTAATTTGCAAACTTGCATAGCCGGCATTTTTTTTTAAGAAAGATGGCAACCCTATGTCAGCCATGTACAGTTCTTGTTAATAATGAATAAAAGCTGTTGAAGAAAGTTGGTGATGCTGTATCATTTTATTAAAAGACAGCACATGGTACCGGGTGGGGCTGGTTATAATATTAGAAATGATTGAAGCATTGAACATAGATCTGTATTATGAATCAGCTACACACCAGGTCTCTTCTGCACAGGAGCACAGAACTGTGCACAGCGCTGCCAGCGTCAAACCACCCCAGATCTCAGGTTTGAGGGGAATAAGGAGAAAGTGTGGGAGACATCAAACAAAGGCTTATTCTGTGTGTGAAAGCCTTAAACTCCTTCTCTGTGCCAGTGGATCAAAATGTAGCGTTGCTACATTAACTGTTACACAAGAAATAGACATTTATAACAGCTTTCAACTTCCAACGAACATCTAACATCCAGCTTCCAACCAACTTTCAACATCCAGCTTCCAACAAACTTCTAACGTCCAGCTTCCAACCAATGTCCAACATCCAGCTTCCAACCAATGTCCAACATCCAGCTTCCAACCAACTTCCCACATCCAGCTTCCAACCAACTTCCACGTTCAGCTTCCAACCAACTTTCAATGTTCAGCTTCCAACCAACTTTCAACGTCCAGCTTCCAACCAACTTCTAACATTCAGCTTCTAACCAACTTCTAACGTCCAGCTTCCAACCAACTTCTAACATTCAGCTTCTAACCAACTTCCAATGTCCAGCTTCCAACCAACTTCCAACGTCCAGCTTCCAACCAACTTCTAACATTCAGCTTCTAACCAACTTCCAATGTCCAGCTTCCAACCAACTTCTAACGTTCAGCTTCCAACCAATGTCCAATATCCAGCTTCCAACCAATGTCCAATATCCAGCTTCCAACCAATGTCCAATATCCAGCTTCCAACCAACTTCCCACATCCAGCTTCCAACCAACTTCCCACGTCCAGCTTCCAACCAACTTCCAACGTCCAGCTTCCAACCAACTTCTAACGTTCAGCTTCCAACCAATGTCCAATATCCAGCTTCCAACCAATGTCCAATATCCAGCTTCCAACCAATGTCCAATATCCAGCTTCCAACCAATGTCCAATATCCAGCTTCCAACCAATGTCCAATATCCAGCTTCCAACCAACTTCCCACATCCAGCTTCCAACCAACTTCTAATGTCCAGCTTCCAACCAACTTCCAACGTCCAGCTTCCAACCAACTTCCAACGTCCAGCTTCCAACCAACTTCCAACGTCCAGCTTCCAACCAACGTCTAACGTTCAGCTTCCAACCAATGTCCAATATCCAGCTTCCAACCAATGTCCAATATCCAGCTTCCAACCAACTTCTAACAGTCAGCTTCCATCCAGCTTCCAACCAAGGGTTTCAAGGACTGAGACACAAATCATGTAACTTTGGTAGTTTGCAAGAATCAATGGTTAGCGACAGACTAGTTTAAAGGCTGCAACTGTCAAAACACGCGTGAGAGGCTTCTCAATGAGTGTGATCTGACACTGTTAGAAGCTATATATATGCCTATCTGCTGAACAAACCAAAAACAACTGTTATGTATAACATCAAGGCAGGTCCCAGCTTTCTTTGGCAGGAGCCAGAGTACATCGCTTGTTACATATACCAACAATGACGAAATATCATGCGGGAGATGATGCAAACTCCATTCCTACGTACAATAAATGCCCAGAATATGGACGGAAGCTATACGTCTTCATGCTGTTGAAACATATCTCTCTGTCTCCAATAAAGATTATTTTTTGTCAGACATGGTACAGCAGGTGTCAGTGCTTGGCAAGGAATGAATTGTGGAGGTAGAAGGTCACAACGTGGTCATACCAACATAGATACTGGAGCAGATCCTAATGTAGTTACTGAGAAAATATGGAAAAAACTAAAGCCCAGACCACCTCCGCAGAGACAAAATGAAGGTTAACTAAATGATGGACATATGATAGACTCTGGGACCATACACTTTGTCCTTACAACATAATAACTGCACGTCAAGATGTTCTTTCCCTGCCTTGCAGTCTGTACAGTGGATACTACTGGTCAAATGATTGAAATAAATAATAAAATAGTCACATTGCTGCTGGAAGCATACAAGGAGGTATTGGCTAAACCTGGAAGACTTTCCATGGAATATAAAATGATGAACTGCTCTAAAGTCTGGATCAACACGTTTTACCCATGTACTACAGAAAGTACCAGTGGCGTTATGGGATAAGCAGAAAACTGTGATAAAATCAATGCCTTGTAGAGTTGGATGTTGTAGAATGTGTTCAAGAACCAAGTGGGGGGGACACATTAGTAATTCTGGCTCTTTAACTTTATAATGATCCGTAGGAGTTAAATGGCAGTATTAAGAGGATGCATTATCAGATGTAATCAAGAAATGCACTCCTGGGACAGATGGTGAATGCCCAGGTGTTTTCTATTAAAGATGCCTCAAATAGTTATTGGTAGATACCCGTGGCAAAAGAAAGCAGACGCACATATGTCTTCAATAAACCATTTGACAGATATAGTTTCAAATGGCTATTGAACTATTTTCAACCCCAGAGTATATCATTGGACCATACATCATTTTTTTAATTGGGTTGAAAGTGTCTAAGCTTGCGTGTTCAGAAAGTGAACATAATACCGGACTTGAGAAGGCTCCAGAGCTTGCCCAAAACAATGGACTAAAACTAAACAAAATAAAATGTACATTTTACAAATATGAAATTCGGAACAGTTATTTTACAATGTGATGGCAAGGGCTGGAGGCCTATTCCATATACTGCCAGAGCTTTTACTGATTCAGAATTCAAGTATGCTCAAATAGAAAAAAATACACTGGGCATTCACACCCCTAATATTGGGGTCCTGAGATGCTGGACACTTGAGGGATGGGGGTAAAGGTCAGCAATGGCATCACTTCACTGGTCCAGCCTCAAAGAGGCAGATCCACCTTAATTACTTGCAGGTCAGCCTGGTGAAAATACTATCCACCTGCCAATAAAGCTGGCCAGGTCTCTGAGAGCGTGACATGAATGAAGCACAATCTGCAGAGTTCTGGTGCCCTGAGTATAGTGAGAACGTGTCTAATAATGCGCTTGTGCTACACTTTTTGGGGATCGTTCCCAGGTGTCCCCAAAAGCAGAACGCCACAGAACAAAATCTGGACAGTAGAACATAACTTAAAAATCAGGACTGTCTTGAAGATATAGGGATGGTTCAGAGGCATGGGCATTGCATTGGCTTTGAAACGTTTCACAGTTTTGTCTATGAATGAGACAAGCTAGGAGTCAGCCATGTGTAGTCCTTGCTAATAACGAATGAAACTCGTTGAGGAAAACTGGTGAAGCTGTGTAATTTTAGTAGAAGACAACATCTATTTACGTCTGTCCTGGAAATGAGAGCTTTCATTTTTTTAAGTAATTGCAAGTTCCAGCCTTTGCATCTGTCAGCATTGAGAGAGCATAGAGAGAGGAAGAGAAACAGAAACAAATGTCATGTTTCCCTCTTCTCCACGCAACGTGAGCAGTGGGTGGGCCAAGATTGAACTGGATTCTGATGTCAGTAGCTGAATCTCATGTTAGAACTTTGGCTTAGTCGGTCAATGTAAAGGGGAACTCACGGAATTCTGCACGGTTACTATAAAGGATTCTTAGCTAGGAGTATATAGAAAGGCTGGGGTTCACATAATGTATTTCATGTAAGAAAATTACACACGACTATTTGATAATATGATTTTTATCTCTGCATTAACATACCACCCACAATAGTCCGAATTCAAAACACTGGAAACAAAACCGATTGATTGTTTGAAGTTACCAAGCATCCAATCAGAATAAAGCATTCACACACATTCATTTTCTTTCAGTATGTCTCATTATCTGCTTCCTCTAAAATAAAAAGTGAAAAAGGAAAGTCTTGTAACTTCTACATATGCATTTCATATTTAAAATGTTTTGCCCTTTTTAATATATTTTAGAGCATTTCTAAACAATTTTAAAACTGCAGAAAGATTCAGAAGTAATATTGAAGTACCACTAAAGGCATGCAGATCTTTTCAGCCAATGACGTGCTCTGGATGCAGTGGTCCTGTTCTCGTAGCTCTGCAACGTTTAACACTGCCATTTTGTAGAAATTGCAATGTTGTGATTGATGGGTTTAGTGAGACTTCCTAACAGCTAGTCGAGGCTGTTCCGGCCGAGTAAACACGTCAAACAGTTATTCATTCAAATTATGCTCATCAGGAGAATTGGATTGGTTGCAGCGTGGTGATTTGCCGAGCATGCGCACTAGCCTCCCAATGCTTCCCTAACAATCTTGATGATCTCAACCAGACAGACATGGAGTGCAGCATGGCAAGGGAGTAAAGGTAAGTAAAACCTAACTTTTAAGCCATCACAGGAAGTAGGTGGGCAGACACCTAAACAGGTACAGTCACATTATACATTAGGAATGGAATGGAATCCTAATGCTGTAGTATTCCTATAACGTATTGCGCGATCTTTGTGCTCTGTTTATTACTTACATGACTGGTTCATTCGAGTCCTATTCACATTGTATCCATTAAATATCTTTACGCGGTCTCTCTGTGTCTGCAGATTATATGAATTCTATTTCCCTATGAGGCTCCGCTAGCCTGACACTGGGCATCGTGGGCAGTTTTGTTGCTGCGGTGCACTCTCTAATAAGGACTGCCACCTACCGGCTTAATCAGTGCTTTCTACAGATGCTGGGGAGAGTAACCAACGCCAATGCAGTGATACAAAACAAGGAGAAAATGATATACCAAGATACACCCTACACACACAAGGTTCGGAACTACCGACGAGCTCGAACAAACCAAAATCTATCCAAACCTAACAGTTCTAAGTGAACTAAACTATATTACATCAGGACAAACAACCTACACCACAACTTGTTTATCCATCCCCCTGCCGCTGTGACCAAACGGGATCCAGAACCTACTTAAAGGGAGGGACAAAACAGGTAAGTGAGGATTAACTAAAATGGCCCTTGATCTAAAATGGCCGCCATATGTACTCCCATAATCTAAACTCACCCCCCCCACACACATTCTATAGCCAAACCCCCACATTAACACCACCTATGTCAAGGCCCATTCCACTTAGCTGCGCTGTTCCATGGACTACACACTGCTACAGATGGGCTACAGATACTGCCAATAACTCGCTCTCTGCTGCAAAGCCCTCAGTGATAAAACTAGCGCTTTACTATTGTTACCTCGTATAAGGACAACATTAAACAATTCACAGAAATCTTATATACAACATATATACTAAACATAACATAAAATATACAAACATAAATGCATACATACAAAATGTAACTTTTCACTCAAACTCCCACTACTCCTGGACATCAGCCCCAATACATGCAATAAAAAAACCAAGGAAAAAGTTACTCGCTCCCTATCCCAGATCCCTGCATATTTAAATAACGGGAGGTTTCTAGCCTCACACCAATGGCCATTCGAGTGTAAGCCCACCTGCCACATCAAGGTGAGTCCTACACTAACAATTCACCTTGCTTCTTTCAGCTAGAAGGTAAGGTACGTTTGGATTGATGTGTACTATAGTCACTGTTGCTGCCTTGGAGTAGTGGGAGTTTGAGCACAGGAATATTTGCTTTTGTAAATGTCATGTTACAATGCTGCCACCCACCCTACGTGTTCCCTATTAAGGGTTAATACTCTATAACATCATAACAGCAATCCTCTGGAAAAATGGAATGAAAGCGTTAAATTCTCTCTACCCAGCCTGGAAGGTACTGGAGATATAGCATAAGTAACTCTTACTGTAGCAGCCCTTAAAGGAGTTACACAGTGCTCCAATCATTGGGAAAACCATTTCAAAACTATTTATAGATTGCATTTACCCCCTGTAGGTTGAATAAAAGGAACTCCAGATATTCAGGTAAATATTGGAGAAACTAATGATTGGCTCGCTCTCATATGTTTTTTGGTATTGTCCTAAACTCACACAATTTTAGCAGGAGATACAAAATGAATCCAAAGTAAATTCTAATATTCGTGTACTCACCTCTGAATTGGCTTTATTAAAATTCTTCCCTGATACTATTGAAAACAATTGATAAAATTATAATTGGACATATCCTTTTAGCTGTTACTACGGTCATCCCCAAATACTGGAAGTCACCAACAATCCAAAAAGGTTTTGAATTACCGTATTTTTCTGTGTATAAGACGCCCCCATGTATAAGACAACCCCTATTTTTGGAGCTCAAA